TGAGCAACATTTATGCTTCTGCATCAGTAATGCAGGGGAGTGTTCCAGCCATGTAATCCCTCTTCCACACACAGGCAGTATAAAGATACCTTGTTGTTGTTAGTCTGAGAAGATACAACAAATCTCCTCAGCACCACAATGTGCTCTTTGTTTTTGAGACAAGGAAGGTACAATAGTAACAACAAAAAAGACTAATCCCTCTGGATGTTCTCAGAAACTATAATTCTATCACCACTTTGAGTCCTTTTCATACTTTGGTTTGGACACTGAGAGCAAATCAGATGTTGTAAAAATCAGTTCCATTCATTCAACAGATGGTTATCATACAGGAGAACAACATGCCAGGATGCACTGATGATTAACGCGTATTTGTTGTATCAGAGTACTTTGCTGTACTAGGTGCTGTTGTGTGAATGACCATCTAAAACATTGTTAACACAGACAATGGCTACAAATGTCTGAGCAAATGATTCAGTTAAGGGTTCATGCACCCAAAGTAAAAACATAAGAACACACACCTGTTGACTGTAGCCATGCTGAGTTATCCAGAATGTGAGAATCAATCTGAGATATCTGAACATCTGTTTCCATGTGAATGACTCTGTAGGCTATGGGGAGAAACAGAGATACTGTTTCTGGAGAGAGATATTGCTGTTGGAAATGTTTAATGTTACAAACAAATTCCATTCACCTCCATCATTCTGATCTCCTTTCTTTTATTTTATTTTAGCTTTTTTTGGGGGGGTTAGGCAACAAAAGGACTTGGTTAGGCTCAGGAAGATGATCGTAGTTCGGGGTGAAAGGACGTTACTTCAGTTACACACAGGACCTGTTCTGGAGCCAGCAGACAAACCAAACAGTTGCATGTTGCAGGAATTTGAAACATTGACAAGTGATCCATGCAGCTCTGTCGATCAGGTTCTGTTCATTATGGTTTCCAGTGAAAAAGACGGGCCATGTGCAAATATCTCTGCCAACATGTGGTTCTGAACAGATTATGAACTTGATTATTGACCTAGCGACCAGCAGTAGAAGACATATGTGGCAGTCCCAGGATAGAAACATGTGATGTGAGTGTGAAGTAGGAGAGGAGCAGACCTGACTGTACCTGAGTAAATCAACTCCATTTGATCCAAAGACAGAAATCTCACAAAATCTCACCAAGGCCAGAATCAACCTTCTGTTGCTTGGTAAACTAATCGGTTGGATCAGTTTGAACATGGCTCATCGACAGATGTTTGTTTGTCAGCACATTATGTGATGACTCACACAGGAAGGTCTGATTTGTCAGAATCCCCTATTTTCACTGGGAGAGGTGGGCGTATCCAGCCTTACTGTTCACCACAACTAGAGTATTGATTTCTCCATCATGGGACTGTGTTACTAAATCATCTGCTCTGTCCAACACTACTGTGTCTGTGGCACAATCACAGTGCTGGAGATGATGGAGTAGGACACTGATGTATGTCCAATCATTATCCCCAGATGTGTCTGTGTGTGGATCAGCATTGAGGAAACAGCAGCCAGGAAGAATCGCCTCACGAGGCTGAAAGTAATCCAGTACTCACTCCTCATTCAAGACAATCAACTCGTGGTATCTGTAGTAGCTGCCATGAATAGAAATAAGGAAAGTACAAATATCTCTTTTTATACCTTAATTTCCATTAAAACAGTGTGTGTTTATGTGTTAATTAATATTCATGAAGCTTTATCTTTCCCTTCTCTTCCTGTAAAGTACAAAGATAAATGAAATAGGGACTGTTTTAGTTCAAATCATGTATGATTGTCTGATGGAGGATCATTCCATTGGTCCAGTGTGCGATCATGAGTCAGTCCGTGAGTGAGTGAGTGGAGTCTACTTGACTCCATTTAGAGTCAAGTAGACCACAAAGCAGAGTATGCTTTAGGGCGGGGCTACACAGTGGGAGTGGTCTGTGTATTCATCTGACTACTTTAACCCTTTCACAGTGTGTTTTCACTTCACAAGAAATAAATGTAACAATTTGATCACCGGAAAATGTATTATTTAGCTTTTGGTTGTACTTAGCTCCGCCCTCTTGTGGCCCTTCTGGTCTCAAAACAAGACGGAGACGGACAAAATGCCAAACTAATGCTTCAGTCTAATGGCTGATGTCACAGTGACTATGTCCACTTCTTATCTACAGTCTGATGGCACTTCTGTAGTTATTTAAACCCAAAACACAATATTTTCCTAAACCTAAGTAAATAGTTTTGTGGCCTCAACCTGACTAAGAAGTTTCCTGTTAAGATTGAAGTTTATTTTGAAAAGACCGTATGCATGTAACCAGCAGAAATTGACACGTGTTGCTGGACTTTTGTCGAAAAACGCACAAAAAACGAGAAGTAACTTTTTGTAAAATATTATACAAAGCACTGTATGAGATTGAGCGGCTTAAACGAGTTACCTGGTCTTAAAAATAAACGCTTATTCCTTTTTAGCAAAGTAAATGTTATGTACCCATGTTTTAGTTATGTTGGGATTATTAATATGTTGTGTTGTTAGAGACAAAGTAACAAATAGTAAATAAAAGAGGAATAAAGGAAGAAGAACATGACGAGTCCCTGCTAAAGCTTGATTAATGTGATGAACACAACATCAGTTATAGCTGCCCTTTAAAAACAACATTCATGGTCAAGTTTGAGATTTGGGGCGATTTTGCTTCAAAAAAATATCTTCCTTCAGTATTGGAAAGAAAACATCCCAAATACACATACAGGTGTTTATTTTCAGCACAGTCTCGTGGCAGCTCTGAAAATAGGCACCAAATGCATTCTGTTAGTTTTGTGCACGTGTCTGTTTTTGTGTTGCTCAGGACGAAACAATGCCGATGGAAAGTCATTAAGGATCCTCTTTCATAGTGGATACACAAATTAAACACATCCAAGTGACTATGCAGGGGCAGACATAATGACATATTAAATATCGATAAAGACTTAAGGTGGTCGGGAGGGGAGGTGGGTCCAACAAACACATGGTCTTAAACCTAACTAACCGGTTTTGTTGTCTAAGCCTAACTTAAGTTCTGCAGCATAACGTCATCCTGGGAAAAAACACTTTGTGTCCCTGTACACAAAACCAACAGGTAGCATTTTGTGACTATTTCACGAACTGCCTTGAGACTTTGTTATTTTTTATTTTGTTAATTTAATGCTAATTTGTCTTTTCGTGTAGATTTCTCCTGAATCCCCCAGTTAGCATCAGATAACGCCTGATTTAAACATTACATTTCAGAGAACTTGTAATACAAGAAAAGAATTGTCTTCATAAGTAATCAGTTCACCTGTGGTGTCTTCATAATGTAATCTTATAATACATCTTTAAAGGTGTTTTTCTCTCAGACTCTCAGCCAGAAATCTCCTCCAGTTTCATAGCTATCTATACTCTGAAGGTTTTTACTGAGGGCTTTGTTATTTTATCATTCATAACTTAATTATGCAACATTTCATGTCTGTTGGCTGTTTTTTCTGATTTGTGGAGTAATACAAAGAAAGATCCTCTTTGTAAAAACCTTTCCAGGTTCAAAATTCTTGTTTCATTTTGTTGAAAGAGTGAAAGAATTCTGAATCTGGTTTTATCCAGTATTCACATTTCTGTTCTGGAAATATATGCATAATAGAAATAATGACTAATTTGCATATTTAAACATGTATTTTTTTAAGTAAATGTAAAAATAATTGTCTTAATTTAAGTTATCAACGGGAGGTTTCATGATGATATGCATTAGTTTACCTGAGGTGTCTCACATTAGTAGTGTTTGGGGATTCATCCAAGTTTCATATGTTTATACAATTTGAGGCATTACATGAGACTACTTTGAATTTCTACATTACAGGCTGACTTGAATGTTTATTTTGTTCTATGTCGTAGATTGTTTTTTATTCTCCGCATATTTAGAGGGAGAAGGTATTCAAAGGGTCCAACCAGAAGGGGACATTTATTTATCACACTATCATTATTGCTGTGATGGATTATGTTGTAATTATATAATGTTGTTTGTGACATACTGTATATTGCACCTCTGTCCATCATGGGAGAGGGATCCCTCCTCTGGTGCTCTCACTGAGCTTTCTTCCTTCTTTTCCCTTTAAAATTTAAAAATAAAAATCTTTTAAAAAATAAAGTTTTTCCTTTCCTGACGCGAGGGTCCGAGGACAGAGGAGGATGTCGCATGCATAGCAGATTGTAAAGCTATTTGGGGCAAATTTTTATATTGGGCAATACAAATGAAAAAATTTCAGTTTTGATTCGCAGACTGTGAAACAGATGGACACAGATTCTGATTGTTAGCCACTTACAGTTTTGATACAGACATCACGAGCAATGTGTACCAGGTCTGTTCCTGTCTGAGCACACTGGCTCTGCAGGGAGAAAGAATTTGAATGTTTTGCCTCCCGAAGCAGTTGATTTATCAAAACATGTTTATGATTGAAATCAGAACCATAGATGTCTCAAGGTGAGCAGGAGAAACAAAACTGAAAAGAAGTGAGAGGGAATAAACAGAACCAAGCAAAGGGAATAGGAGAGAGGATTGTTTTAGGATCAGTGCAGAGCCACAGCTCAGTGTGGCCCTCATCTGTCCATGCAACACGTCATCCATTTGTTTCTCTATATCTTCTCTGTAAAGTGCAGCCTAGCTGCGCAACACCAACTCTTGTTTGATGGGTGCCATGTCTGTGTTGGTACAGACTCACGAGAATTGATATTTGGCGGAAAATAGGACTGTCTTTTTGTAGAGGACATAAAAATGTATGGATTATGGAGTGTATATATAATGTATATATATATATGTGTATATATTATGTAGTGTAGATATAAACCAGTGTCTTTGGAAGGGAGACGAACCAAAGCTGTGTTGTAATGTGTGATATAGACGGCTGTAAAGAGCAGCTTTACATCTGTAAAATGAGACGTTCTCCTCCACCATGTGGAGTGTGTACATTTGTGAGCATGAGGATATGATACAGGGTTTGGGACTCACCCTGAGCTCCTTGAAGAAGATACAGCTCCGAGCCCACTCCACTATGGAGAATAGAGTCTGATCTGCCATGCGACACATGAGGCTGAAGGTGCTGGGCTTGTCCAGCCGGCCCCGGCCACTCTGCTCCTGCTGCAAATGAGCTACGATCTTATTCTGCACCACCAGCTCGTCTGGATCGCAGCGCAGCAGCTCCAACACCAGCGGTGGCAGGCTGGGCGGCTGTGGCGAGGCCGAGGGGTACATGTCTGGGTAGGGGTATCCGGTCAGAGACTCAGGGGAGCTGGTGTAGTCGGGACATTCGGCTTTAATCGCCCTGCCAGGGAAGGCTGTGTACTGGTACTGAGAGATGAGGGGCACGTGGGACTGCATGGCCATGCCCAGGGATGGCGGTCCATAGAGGTTGGCCTCGTACTCTGTAGGGGTGATGGAGCTCGGGGTGGAGGGAAGCAGACTTTTGGAGATGGTGGGCAGGCTGTGCAGGGTGCCGGTGAATCCGTAGTCAGTCTGAAGAGGAGAGGCCGGTGGAGGAGCCGGGCTCTCCAGCTTGAACCCGTTGGATCGTATCAAAGCCTTCTTCTGCTGCTTCAAGGCCCTGTCTCTCTTGTACATGGGGCCAAATTTATTCCTCCCCCCACGCATGCGGTCTGCACGCACCGCTGTCACACAAGAGACAAGAGGTGAAAAACAGATTTACAGATCAAACTCCAACTCTAGTGAATGTCCTGCACTGAAAACTCCTTGATAAGCATTGAACTGTAACAGTATGGAGTCAAATCATAACTTGTATTTCACCAGCATCCCCAACTATTCCTGCAGAGTAAATAACAGACATGTTGGTCATTCATACTTCCCTATTTAGGGCTGAGAAGAATCCTCAGAGCCTGTGCAGCTCTACTCCTTCTTGTAGTCTAAATAGAGCTTTTGATTTAAAACAGGGGAGTCTCTGGGGTTTTATCAGTAAGTCAAGAATGTGTCCTTTTTCTGCTACGGAAGCAGGTGCTTTCCTGCATTGCTGTCTGGGAATTAATCCCATCCCATGTGTGTAGGGAACAACATGAGAGCCACAATATCTCAAAGGTTTAGTAATCATGTAATAACAATTACATTAAAAATGAATACACACAATATGTGCATTTACATCATTGTTATTATAGTTGGAATCAAAATACACAATGACAAATGTGCAACAATGGCCAAAATATAAATATATACAATATTATTTTTTCTCCCAAATAAATATAGTGATATTATTATTATTGTTGTTGTTGTTATTAATATTATTATACGGGCTTGATTACAGTGAACTCTACCTTCTAGCCGCATCCCGACGTTGAGGCACTTTTGGAAGCGACAGAACGGACATCTCTTCCTCTGGGTTTTGTCTATTTTACACTCCTGGTTCTCCGCACATGTGTACCTCTTGTTGTTCTGCACTGTCCTCTTGAAGAAGCCCTGAACAACAGAGACACGTTGGAAACGGCAGGTTAGCAGAGTATTTAACATTGTAGGATGCAATCTTGCGCCCTCGAAATAAACCGTGGCGGGTGAACCGTGACTGCGTTCCAATAGTAGAGAAAAAGAAATACTCGATAATGCATATGGCGTCTAAAAGCACGCGCTACTCACTTTATATATCAGCTAAAGTGAGTAGTCTATGTGTGCAATGTAGCGTTTTTCTGTTTCAGTATTTCAAAGTACACATTTGAATAATCGAGAAATATTTCTAATGCCAAAATATTGTCGGAGAGGTTCACTTTAAAGTTTGGTGTGATGATTTATTATATCGAATATCATGAGAACATCCGTTTCGATTGGTTTCGGGTTGGTTTATCTCCGTGTGTTACCTTGCAGCTCTCGCAGGTGAGCAGGCCGTAGTGGTATCCAGACACTTTGTCTCCGCACACAGGACACAGCTCTTCCAGGTCATCGTCATATGTGTATTCCATAACCTTCAAAGTGACACCTGGTACATACGCACGTGCACAAAGACACAGACAGACACATGCATCCACCAAAGGCAACACGGCACACTTTAGTGTACAAATAAACACGTGTGAATAAACACGGCGTGCAGAATATAAGAGAAAAGAATCTGAAAATCCTCCAGGCCTCCAGTGTCACTGACACAACGTTCTCCTATCACGCAAACATAATAATGTGCCGTCTGTTGTTTCTTCCTCTTTCACTTCATTTTTATGCAGTTGACCATTTGAAATAGTCCCAGTGCTGTCGGCTGTTGTTTTTCACATGTAATGCAATTTAATCTGACGTAAAAATAAGAAGAATTAGATCACTTTTTTAAATGAGCTTTAACTGATTATTTCGAAATGTCATAGACATGAAAAAGTAATATATTTATATATTTATTTGATCGACATTACAATAATGATAATACATAAACATATATATACATTTCACAAAGAAAGACTGTTTTATACAATAAGGCCTCACATACGTTGTATAGGCCTATCTAAATAATAAATAATCAAAATGAATGTAAGTGTTCTAATTTGTAATTAGTGTTTATAATTTATAATAATATAAATATGTGCGCATACAGGCTAATAAAGCCATATACAATTAGCCATCAGCCTCTAAAAAATACACCTATTAATAAGGAGGTTATATAAGCTATGGTCTCCACTCGTGTACTGGAATTAATAAAACCAACATACCGCTGATAAATGTAGCCAAATATGTTTGTAAAACATCTATTTTCCTTTCCGTGGGTTTGAACCCGCTCCATTATTTCCGTTACACTGGATTTATATTACGGAGCCAAACTAACGCTCGGTTCGGTCCCGTCGCGCGGAGCAGTGATCAGCTGGGAAATATTAGCCTTTATTACACTGCTGCCGAAAAACCGCGAAAAAGAGGCGCCTCGCGCCCCACGAAGCAGTCCAGGGAACACACACGCTACGTGGGCTCTTGTATGTCACCGCGTGCCATCAGCACCACGGTCATCAGAAGACAAACACCAAATCTTGAATTAATATTACTGTTATTATTATTGTTATTAGTAGTAGTAGTAGGAGTAGTAGTAATAGTAGAAGTAGTAATAGTAGAAGTAGTAGTATTATAAGTAGTAGCAGTAGTAGTATTACTACTAGTAGTATTATCATTCATATTATTATATTATTATCATACGAATTTTTACATTCTAAAACGATTGACCAATTTATTTATAGTATTTTGCTGTAGCTTTGCTAAATTATTAACTGCGAGATTTTACGTTGAGTCATAGGCTACCAAATATATATTTTTATTCTATTGAATTATTTTCTATTTCATTTTTGTAAATTTGGATCAGTTAAGTTTCACATGGTGTAATTTTAAAATCATTTTTTTTAAATCGACCTACTTTAGAAAGTGTCCTGTTCTAAGTTAGTTGCTGGTTCAGTGATTTGCTGTTTTATAATGAAATAAAACTATCTTTGGCTACAGCAAATGGCAGACAATTATTCATCTTAATAATTAAACAACGGGTTATGGATCTCTGGATGAGTTATGCAGTGCCAGGCCATTTAGCCTGTACGTCAACATGTAGGCCTCCCTGAATTTATTGGGATTAAATTGGTTTCTTGACTGGAGCAAAACAAAAGTCATATCTCTGATGGATGCGCGAGCTGTGTTCTGAATGCAGAACACAGAGTGTAGAATACGGACAGACTTACCGTGAGCCTTGTCTCCCAACATTTGAACAACAGACAGCAGCCAGTCAGCGATGAATGTCTGATAATTAAAACCTGAGTGGGTGTTGCTGCCGCCGTGCATGAGCTGCTGAGGAGAACAGTTTAAAAAGGACCAATAGCAATCCGGATGGTCGGTGTCTAGAACACGGCTGGTTGAGCCAGTAGGGCCGGTAGTGCGTGAGTGATGATGACCATTGAAGATCTCGGAGTGAAACTCCTTCAGTCCACTCGCTCTTTACTGCGCCTGCCTTATCACAAAAGTTAGACTCCCGTGATTCCATTGGTGGAAGCCAAGTCACGTGACGGATGTTCGCTGGCGCTGCCTCCTCCGTGAAAATGCTTGGACAGGAGCGCGGAGCGGTGCTGATGGAGAACTCACGCTTACTATGAGACACACATGAATTAAAGAAATTGTGCTTCAACACTATTTGAAATAAAAAAATAAACAGCCGTAAATGTGCAGCTGCAGAGGAGATGTTCATAGGCAGCTGAATAACTAAAGCGCAACGGACACGTTTATATTGGGAGGCATGCAAATACATCCGTATTACAATAGTGTTATTAATAGGCTAAAAATACCTGTTATTATTATAACGATTGTGATTATGATTATTGTGATTATTGATTAGGATATATTTACACGTTATATATATGTTGCATATTATATACATACAGTACATATATATATATATATAATGTACAACATATTTTTATCTGGTATATATATATACTGCTTTGACCCTGTAGCCTGTTCTATTCGGTCATTCATTGATTTCTATATTTATCTGGTTGTACACATGTGGAGCAGGACATATGTTTCAGCAGACTGAAATACATTGGCATTAATATTAATTGAGTGTGACAGGGCATTTTGCTTGGTAAGCGCTGTGGAGAGTCAAACTGTCTATTGTTAGTTGAGACAGGAAGCAGTGGGCGGCTGCTGAGGGTCACTGTGTGGAAACAGAACAAAGCTGAGGGTCCTGCAGCGAAAGACCAAGGCACCATGTTAAAGACAGGAAATACAACGATGACTGAAGTCGACACAAAACATTCACATCCAAACACTGTCTTTGATTACGTCACGTTCTAGACTGTCAGCTGAGTTCAGTCTGCATAGAGTGACGGTCTCTCTACCTGCAGGCTCCCCTCCCTCATGGTCTAGGATGACCGCTCCAGACCACCGACTTTACTTCCTATTAATGTTCATTCAGCTCTAATTCACCAGAATAGCCACTCAGACAATGTATCAGAATGCACTTTATTCCTCGAATGTAAGACAGTTCTATAATTCATAATATAATTGGATAAATAATCCTTTTATAACCCTGAGATGTGTAAATCACACGTAAACCTTGATACCAGCCTTAAATTAGGTCTCTCACAGATCAGAGGATTGGCCTCTGAATTATATATTCCATTCACTCAGATCTTAATTATTGTTGTATGAGCAGACTGAGGAGCAGACAGTTAGAAATGCTCAGTGCACGTGTCAGTGCATGAGAGGGTTTTGAGTATCTGGAATTAGCAACTAAAACTAAAACTTTGGTTAATGTTATTGGGGATCGATTGATCACAGGTATAAGATACCAAAGGAGCTCATTCATCAAACCCGACCTCCTCTACGTGAAGGGAAGAATACAAGTCTGTCGTTATCCTTAGACTGAGGACATAATCACTTTGTCTAATTACTCCATTTCACCACAATGTTATGATGAAACATGCAGGAGCTTTATTTCACTAATATCTGGTCACTCTCTGCTTGGCAATAAAAGGGATAAAATGTCCAGAAGAAATAATAAAAGAAATCAACGAATCAACTGATCTTTCTAAAGGCTCCTGGATAATAATGTGATCACCAGGGAACTAAAGTGTTTACAAATGATCATATGAGACATTTGCACTAAAACATATTCCTCAATTGCAAATGTTCACATTTCTTGAGACAGATGAAGATATATGCAGCTGTCAGGGTACAAACAGTTATAAGTGGGTAAGACCCTGGTTGTGTGACGCGTGACCTGATGTTGCCAGTAAAAAGCAAAAATACGATAAAATACGAAGCTGAATATTTCAAGATAATATAATGTAGAAGAGTTTAAAGGGAAATGATTTTGCAGCTGTTGCAATACAATCTAAATGAACAATAATAACAAACGTGCCCTCACACCTTCCTGTGTGTCCGGGGTGCTGCCGGGATACAAAGAGTAGGGGCGGGGCTAATGGTCCCTAATGAAACCGGAAGTCTCATCTGAGTGCAGTGATATCTCCCACAAGAGTTAGAGCAGATTGGACAATATGAAGTACATTTTTACAATAACTTGCAGTTCCTGGCTAAAAACGACCTCAAGTGGCCATGGAATTCAAAATGTCTGACCTTCTGTCTCAACATGTTACGTCTACCAAAATTCGTATGTGAAAGTTAAAAGGTGGGGCTTTTATTTAGCAAACTGTTAGGGGGCCCTAGTGAGACATTTGATCACACCCATGCTAGAGGCCTCTAAAATGTAATTTTATAAAACATCACATTTTTCACCAGACAAGTGTGCAAAAGGCCTGTACAGCTAGAGGGCCTCCCTTGAAAAATGAATTTATTCTCATTAAATTAGCACTTTATTCTACTTTAATCACAACTTTTTTTTCACAAAATATTACAACTTTTTCACTACATCTCGGAGAATACAGATATGTGGGGTATGATTTCATGAGCAGAAATCTTGCTGAAACACATTATTAAAGAGCTCAGGGGTGAATTCATTGAGTGTATCTTTTCTCAAGATAGCTTTGTTGTATTTCAGGTTTTTATTCTAAGTGTGAGAGAGAGACAGACAGGAACAGCTGAGAAGGGATGCCATGCAGTGAAGGGGCCCTGTGCCAGACTCCAACGCAAGCCGCTGCCGCCTTTACGGTTTCCTTAATGGAGCCCCGATGTATCATCGACGTGAACTGCTGCCACATGCATATTTAAAGGGGTTTCATCCCCAAACAGAATATAGGAAGTAGGATGGAAGGGTATTTCCATTGGTGTTGACTCATCAGGCATAACATTAAAGGAAAATAGATAAGTTACAGTAGAATCCATATTTGAAAGTAATAAATAACGTACTGCATTATATTCCATTATATTGTATGCATACATCAATTCTTCTTTGCCTGGTAACCCCCGGAGTCCAGGATCACCTCTGACCGTTTCACCCTGAGATAGTATTTGATCTAATATAATTAGTTTGATACAATCAATTTAAGTAAAAGATAAATGTACTTTTAGAACGTGATACCAGTCATTGCTACACTGTTTTTTCTTTTAGTAGTAAATGATAAAATGCAGGAACTTTAGAACAGCTTAATGCAAAGATTCATAAGCAAAGTGCACCCATGTCTAAGTTGCCCTGGCTCTTTAAAAACTTGCACAGCACATGTCATTAGAGTGCTTGCTCAGCAGAAGGTGCACACAGGGAGAAAAGTTCTACCGATTGATCTGTTTCACCCCTGACCTTCCAGAGTCACTGCAAGGTCCTCGATTAGCCAATATCAGCCTAAATCTGTTCATCTGATTATTAGGGAGCACCGGCCAGAAAACAAGCCAGGCTGACTGGAGCAGGAGGCCCCTGCTGAGCCGGGCCCTCTGTCACTGGGGCCAAGAAATATGGCCTATCTGCTGTTTGTCTCTGGCATGATTTTGTTTTGCAAGTGTGCTGTGGCTACAGGTCAGAGGAGCCCCATCATCAGACAAGCTCTGTCTCTGTCTCCCAGATATATTTGTAAAATAAATAAAGGGGAAGGGCTGAGGCCTGGCTTGTGTTTTGACTCCATCAGTAATACCCCCACACGACAACCATTTTGTGCTGCAGTGGCAGGATCTTTGTGGATGAAAGAAGATAGCGCTGCAATCACTCTGGGTGAAAGATACTGGAGGATGAGTTCCTATGCTGTGTAGAATATGGCCAGCATTTGTAAGATTTGAGATTCAGACCTTTTTGATCAGCTGCCTTTTGCTCTTGGGCATCTGAGGCTCAGGGGTAGAGCAGCGTCATCCTTCAATCACAGGATCGGTGGTTCGATCCCCGGCCCCGTTAGTCCATGTAAATGTGTCCCTGGGCAAGACACTTAACCCCAAAAGCTGTGCCTACGGTATATGAATGTTGTATGAATGTTAGTTAGAGTACTGATGGGCAGGTGGCACCTTGCATGGTAGCCCCTTCCATCAGTGTATGAATGTAGTGTTAAAGCTCTTTGAGTGGTCGGAAAACTCGAAAAGCGCAAGACAAGTCCATTTACCACTTCTATTCTGTGAACGATTCATTAATGATTAATTTTATTTTACCTTTAAAACTATCTGAAAAGCCGTAGTTGGAAGCTGTACGGAAAAGGAAAGGCACTTTCAAAAAAGACTTGGCAGGTGATTGGAAGAACTATCCATCGATCAAACTCTTATTGAAGCGAGAAGACATCTTTTCCATGGACAGAAACCTTCCACTGAATAATACTCCGATAGAGCTGATGCTATTGCAGCAACTACGCAAACCTCTTTAGGTTCTCACGTGATCTTGTGACGTCGTGGGAATCCAGCTGTCCTACAAGGTGAGACTTAAGGTACTCCAAGGAAACACTAAGTTTCCAGTCTGTGTTCTCACCTAAACGCGTTGGGTTTTCTTGAGGTCTAACCAACGTGCTGAATGTGTTTCTGCCCTCATCAAACATTTGTAGAGCTGGCTTTTAAAATATTTGAAATCCTGCATTGTGTGCATGTATGTTTGCTTGCTAGCAGTCTGCTTTACTGTCTTTGTTGGCACATTGCTATGTTTGCCGATGTGTTACTGTCACCAACTATCAATAAGTGGAATAGCATGAAACTATACCTTTATTCTAACATGTCAGAGCTACCAATGTATGGGCATTTATCAATGATAAAAGTAATGAGCAAGTGTTTTGTAAGATAAAATGAAACAGTAGCTGCTGGATTTGAAAGTAAGCAGGGACAGGATCATTAGATTCATGCAAGTATTGAGTGTCACAGATATTTTGTTCCTACCAGAGGTAGATTTGAGCCAGCAGTATTGTTTCCCTACTGCTAGTGTCTCAGCTCAGTCTCAGATTTGAAAGTTTGTGTCGTTCTATGCAAACTCCAGTTTACAGGTGTTGACCTTTGAGTGAGCCTTCCTGTTAGACCCTGCCTGCTTTGAGACTTGAGGCTTTC